CCTGAAGCTAATGACAGAGATGAATTTCACATGGAAGAGATGCTAAGGGAGTGGACCGACGAACCACCAATCCGCCACGATGTGTACCCGGAGAGTGAGAATGAAGAAAACGACGACGAACCTGGAAGATTTGATACACATGTAAGGCGTGGTGATGGCCATTTGTACTCGAAGCAGAGTTTCTTCAGTGGAGTTGCATTCAAAGAGGCGGTTGTTGATTACGCTCTCAGAACCGGATGCAATCTGAAGCAGTACAGGTATGATAGTGATAAGATTGGATTCAAATGTGTTGGAAATGATGGTAAGGAGGATGGAGCTCGGTGTGAATGGCAAGTTTATGCGGCAATACTTCCGAAGGATCAAATGTGGAAGATTAGGAAATTCATTGACAAACATAGCTGTATCCCAAATGGAGAATGTGAGATGTTTAAGGTGCCTCATATAGCTAGGTTGTTTGTCGACAAGATTAGGGATAATCCCGAGTTCTACATGCCGGCAAAGATTGAAGAAATCATCTTGGAACAATGGAAGATTAGTGTGACTAGGAATCAATGTCAGTCTGCGAGGAAGAAAGCGTTACAGTGGATTGAGAAGGAATATGATGATCAATTTGCAAGGCTAAGGGACTATGCGACTGAGATTGTAGATTCAAACAAGGAGTCACATGTTGAGGTAGATTGTCTGACGACTGATGATGGTAAAGACATCTTTAATAGGTTCTATGTTTGTTTTGACAGCCTTAGAAGAACATGGAAGGATTCTTGTAGGCCTCTGATAGGTATTGATGGCTGTTTTCTAAAGAATAAGGTTAAGGGACAGTTACTGGTAGCATTAGGTAGGGATGCTAACAATAGGATCTATCCTATAGCTTGGGGTGTGGTTAAGGTAGAAAAACACAGACAATTGGGTTTGGTTTGTGAAGCTGTTGAAAGAGGACTTGGGTTTAAGCAATGGTGAAGGGTTCATCATGATGTCTGATAGACAAAAGGTAACTGCTCTTGTCTTTTGTTGTTTTGTTTTGTCATTTCACTCATGTCTTAGCTAATGTTTGTTTTTTTTGTTTCAGGGTTTAATCAAAGCTGTTCAGCTTGAGTTACCTAATATAGAGCATCGGATGTGTGTCCAACACATCTATGGGAACTTAAAGAAGACTCATGGTAGTAAAACCAGGATAAAGCCACTGCTCTGGGATTTAGCTTGGGCCTATAATGAAAAAGATTTTAAGCAGCACTTGGAGAAGATATTCTGCTATGACAGTGTTATCTACAATGATGTGATGAAAACAAATCCAAGGAGTTGGTCCAGGGCATTCCAGAAAGTAGGCAGCTTCTGTGAGGATGTTGACAACAACTCAGTGGAGTCTTTCAATGGATCTTTGAACAAGGCAAGAGAGAAGCCATTTGTTGCAATGTTAGAGACTATCAGAAGAATGGCCATGGTAAGGATTGCCAAAAGGTCTGTAGAATCCCATACTCACACAGGTAAGCTTCTCTCTTAATCTCTGTTGTTTACTTAATCTTTGTTGTTTACTTGACAGCTTTTATATCTTTTTTTGCAGGTGCATGTACACCTTATGTTGCCAAGTTTCTAGCTGGTGAACACAAGCTCGCTTCTACTGCCAAAGTATCTACAAGCACCAATGGAATGTATGAAGTGAGGCATGGTTCTGATTATCACCGAGTAGACTTAAAGGCATACACTTGTACATGCAGGAAGTGGCAGATCTGTGGCATCCCGTGTGAGCATGCATATGGAGTCATTCTCTACAAGAAGCTTGAACCTGAGAACTTTGTGTGTCAATGGTTCAGGACAGCAATGTGGAAAAGAAACTACACGGATGGCGTCTGTCCACAAAGAGGACCTAAGTTCTGGCCTAAGAGTCATAGGCCTAGAGTCCATGTGCCTGAGTCAGCAGAAGGAGAAGACAACAAGATGACAAAAGCTGAGAAAAAAAGGAAAAAGGGTTTGAATGAGTCTCCTAGTAAGAAGCAGCCAAAGGCAAAGAAAAGAATCATGCATTGTCGTGTTTGTGGGCAAGCTGATCACAATTCAAGATACCATGCTAAAGATAAGGTATGTGAGATTCTTGTTGTGTTTGTGGCATTTGTTGGATTATACTAACACTTGATGTAATTTTGCAGGCTTCTCATTTTGTCTCGCAGCCTTCTCAACCTGAACCAAGTCAAGGTTCACTCACTCAAGCTTGATCCAAGGAGTAGAAGACTGTCATAGGGTAGAAGAACTAGGGTACTTATATTGTGGTTGTCTCATTGTAATTTTCGACCACATTGTTTCTACGGCTAAATGGATGTTTTGTTTCTACGGCTAAATGGATGTTTAGGATGAATGCTATTTTGAATGTTATCCGGATTCCTCTTTTTCTTTAACTTATTTTGATCAAAATGGCTAATTGGATGTTCTTTTTCTTTAACAAAAGAACAAACAAGATTACTAAATGCATTCTCTTACACATAAATCAAACAAGAGTACAAACATGATCATATTACAAAGACAAAGACATAATTCTCTTACACACTAGTCCACCAAAAGTAGAAACATAAATCCAATCATGATCATATTACAAAGACAAAGACATAAGATATTAGAAAGCTTGGGTTTACATTCATCGGATCATTCATCCTACAAGTTTGGTGAATCCAATCATAATCATACACCCTAACACTACTACAATCATCATCTTCTTATTGCTTGTTTTGGCTTCAGACAAAGCATCTTCCACCTTCTCAAATAACTCCTTCTCTATCTTCATTTGGACATTCTCGGAAACCTTCTTATCAAACTCTAACCTCTCTGTTCTAAGCTCTTTCAACTCCAGCTCAAGTTCACAATTCTTTCCTCTCAATGTCTCTAACTCATTGAGCAAGGCTTCATCAACCCATTTGAAAGTGTGATCATCGTTCCTTAGCTAGATATGAACAGTGATCTTTCAATATTAGAAGAATCTAAAACATGAAAACAGAGGAAATAGAGATTGACATTACCCTATGTTTTGCAGCAAAACCGCAACGAAAGTATCTCCGGTAAGGATTCGGATCGGATTTAGAAATCAATGCCACGATTCCTTCTCCGCACCAGCAGCTCTTTGGCACTCCGACCACTCTTCCTCTTCCACGAGGACCTGTAGAACCCGTCGAACTCGATGATAGATTGCTCATCTTCAAACTCAAATTCGGGTTTTCAAAGAGAAATCGGATTTTAGGGTTCTTGAGTTTTGAATTTGGGGATTTTGAATTTGGGAATTGGGGATTTTTTTGTTTGGTTACGACAATGGGTCGGGATGTCGGGTTATAATAAGGAAACCGGTCTGTTTTTTGGTTTGGTTACGACCCATACATGGTTTCGTGTCGGGTTTACACATCAAACCGACGTAACCACGAATCGGGGAGATTAAGATATCGAACTTCCAATTAGGGGGGAAATAAGTGTTTAACTTCCGTTTCATGGACATATAGACAGAGGTCAAAGAACGGGCTCTATCTGGCGTGATACGATAGTTCTCGGGGGGAAATAAACCGTTTTTCCGTATATATTATATAAAAGTTTATTTAGATTGGACCAAAGAGAAATTTCTTACTTCTTTCTCTCTCTTGTTATGCATTTCATTTTCTAATAAGTTATAATATTTAAAATGAGATCTAAATACTTTTTCGAATATCTTTCCCCAACACCACAATGGCACAATATGAATTTTCTTTCTTTTGACTCACTGCTTACGTCTTAATCATAAAACAGTTTTAATTTCAATTTAATTGTAAGTTGGAGGACTTGGGCTTTGACCCATCACTTTTAAGCCCACGTTTGGCTTTTTCCTTTTATTGGAAAGATGGTTGAAAAAAAAGTTGGGTGAACGACCTGTGTCCCCCCACGAAATTTTATACATAATAATACAGATTTTGGGTCTCGTCTCCAGTCCACATAAATCGAAAGTTAAACTCCAGTTTCCCTCTAAATTAAAAATTCGAGACCTCAGTCTCCATAAATTCAAATTTCGTGGTTTATCATTGGTTTACAGTGCCAAACCCGATGTCAAACCAAAACCCAGAATAATAAACCGATTTGAAACCCAATTCGAGTTATCCCAACCCGAAATAAATACCGTTTGTAAGAATCCCCAATTGAGAAATCTTAGAACCCTAATTTGTCAGATTCAAAGCTATTCCTCTCTGTATCTCCCTTCGCAAAACGCAGATCCAACGAAATGAGTTCTGAGAAATTCAGATAAACAATGAAAATCCCTAAAGTGGTTCAAGAAGTTCAAGCAGCTAACTCGAAGAAACCCGATTGGGAAATGAAGAAAGACAATGCTCTTAAACGCAAAGCAGAGATCCTCAATAAATTTGCCCCACTCAAAGGATTTTATAATCTCTCTGCAACTCCTAAGATAACAAAAGCAACAAAAAGATCTTAACTTTGATACCATTTGATCACATTAGATTAGTGTACAAGCACTATCAAATCTCTAGAGATGTCTTCAATCTTAGGCACAGTGATAATCAATTCTCCATCACCGTCGCAATCCACGGTCACGAGATCAGGCCTGGTTGATTCCGGTAGCCTAAAACGCCACACGTCAAGCTCAAGCTCATCAAGCGACAAACCAAGAGACGAAGAACCATTGGTTCTCACCAGAATCTTGACCACACCAGGATGAATCTCAACCATGTAAGCTCCCACACCTCCTCCTCCACCACCATCCGTTTCCGCGACGAACCTGAAGCAATCATGACTCTCTTCAACTGCCACGTCAGCTTCTGACTTCAAGGGCCTGAGTCAATCGATCAATCTGGTTCCTTACTTGCATTCTCTAACGCTGCAAATCAAGCTTCGGTTCATAAAGAATGGAGGACAAACGAAATCGAAGAGGAAGAAGAGAAAAATCGAAATTGGGTTTCAAGTCGGTTTATTATTCTGGGTTTTGGTTTGGTATCGGGTTCGGCACAGTAAACCAATGATAAACCACGAAATTTGAATTTATGGAGACTGAGGTCTCGAACTTTCAATTTAGGGGAAAACTGGAGTTTAACTTTCGTTTTGTGTGGATTGAAGACGAGACCCGAAATCTGTGTTGTTATAGTACTATATGAAACTTCGTGGGAGGGAAACAGGTCGTTCACCCAAAAAAGTTAAATGCAAAGTTAGACATACATATCTTACGCTGGTCATTAGCGCAGGTGATTCCACCTTCATCCCCCTCATTTTTTTTCTCTTTCTCTCCCATTAGGCTCGATCCCTTTGTGTCTGTACCAATCTCTTATCCTCTCTTATTCAAAGAACCTCTTCTTCAATGGACTTTCTCTGAAAACTCAAAGCAAACCGAGCTTAAAAATAATGGCGATGTCTCATCTCTTCCTTTCTTCACCTCGACCTTCACTGGCTCTGCGACTACACTCGACCCAGGTAACGATATCTCTCTCTCTCTTCTCTTCTACCAAATCTTCAAAATAGCTCCTCCACCCAGTAAAAAGCTTGTAACTTTTCACTATTTCTTCTATGGGTCTTTGGATTAATGTCGAAAAATTTCACCTTTAGGCATATACTTATCAGTAAATTGGATCAGTTTCAATCAACAGAATCGTGACTTAGAGGTTCACAAACTCTTATTGGATCCATTAACCATGTAAATTACGAATCTTTCGTTAGGCATATAGCAAAATTACTGTTTTGTTTTGCAGTTCACGTTGAGCTGCAATAAAGATTGTACCTTTAAGTGTGCAAATGAAGCTAAAGTATCAAAGAGATCATTCCTCCTCTGTCGTGCAATTCATATGGAATCTGGACATTCAGGGGAACAACCAAAGAAGCTTAATTTCGATAATCTGTTGAGGAAAACTAAACATGTTTGGGATAATTCTCCACAACCGGTCAAGGAATTCCCTTGGAATAGAGCATTTGAAAACTTTATACAGCTTGTTCTTGATCTCGCTATATCAGTCGTTAAGTTCTTGTTCGTTCCTATATTGGCGGTTTCTTCCATTAGTGAAATGTCTTATTGTGCTCATGAGAGGAAACTTGCTTTAGTCCCGTTTCCGTTAGTCATCGGTATGGTTGTTGCTGGCATTCTACAAGAAACCGCTTTGAAGATCTCTCCTCGTCTTAAGGTAGTAGAAAAGAGAAATCTTTATCTTATAGATTGTTGTGATAGTTTTAAAATTCGTTTTGAAGAAGATTTTGTTCTTGCAGGAAGCGGAAGTACCGTGGCATTTGATAGCTATGATGATGTTCTTCACTCTGATTAAGCTTCCTGGACCGTACTATCCATATTGGGGACGTTTATTTGTTCCTCATTTTGCAAATGGAGTATTGTTTAGAGCACTTTGGTCCATGTTCTTTTGGTATAAGAAGACTAGAAACACATCAGGAAATACTCTGCAGAATCACAGTTTGGAAACAAAATGAGCATCTTCATCTAAAGGTACACTAAATTTGGTTAGATAGCTTTGTCAAATGAGCACATAACAAAATGGAAAATGTTGTTTAGATATGACTTTAGTTGATCGATTTATGCATCTCATCAGTTGTTTCTTTTGTAGGATGGTGGTTTTTTTGGTGCCTAGTGGTCATTATGATTAGTTTCGGGGATTATCTGGAACCCTCGCGGATTAGTGTTCGGGCATAGATAGGAGCTTTCTTCTTATTTTTTTTCTCTCTTCAATCTCAGAGAAGTTGAGGTCAATGAGTTAACAACATCTTTTAGGCCATAGAATTGTTTTGTTTTGTGTTCCTTCTTTGGAAGATTGTCACAGTTCTTGTGAAAACCGTTGTTATTTGGGTATGTATTTGTATCTTGAGTTTTTGTTTTTGGTCTTGACAAAATTTTATAAGAAACCAACCCTTGATTTCACAATTGTTGACTGTGTAGAAGTTAGTAGGCCTCGACTGTTTGGTTACGGTTTATGCAGTGTTTGTAACTGTATCCATAAATTTAAACATTTTAAGCAAACAAAAAATTCAATTGTATGCAACTTTAGAACGCTCTCCATAATGAAAACTCGTGTTTGACGTTTGTTAAAGCATTTTACGAAAAGCCTGACAAAGTTTCAAGTTCAATGCTACAGAAATGGGGACGTTGTAAAATTAACGAAGTTCTTATTAATCTCTAGCTATAACGTCGTCGTTTATAGTCTTTAGAAAAGCAAACTGTGTCGGTTCCCAATTGAGTTTGTGTTTATTTATTTTTTTGAATGTAATGTTAAATTATATTCAAAGAAAAATAAACGTTTTTAAAACTAGTGCGACTTGCGTTTGAAAGAAATTAACTTCTTGTGACATTTTAATATGTCGATTTTAAACGCAACATGGTGCAAAGTGTAATGGCGTAAGATAAATGTTTATTCACAGACATTTACGTATTATGTATTCATATAGACAAATGGTGAATATATTGTAGTTACATTTTTGTGTGCAACCATGCATCTCTTAATTATTATTATTGTCAAAATATTTTAACTAATAGTTCCAGAGACCGTCACAGAGAGTAGTGCCGCGACCCATGGCCCAAACGTGATGTGATCAATACCCAAGTGAGGAAACCCATTCTAGTCGGCGGAGAGGATTCGAATCAACCTCGAGGAGATTGAACTGATGGACTCGAGCAGAGAGCCAGAGATCAAGGGTTACACAACGAGTCTGATTTACAAGGAATCGATGAGAGCATGTGAGCCCGCAAAAGAAGGAACCATTAAGATGTAATGATGAAGATATAAAGAGCAAGCTAGCTTTAGAAGGAGAAATGTGGATCGAATTTTTGACCTAATCACTTAGTCTAGTAGAGAGTTCTTTGTTAACACATCTCCTTTAAAGTATCATTGGACTCTAGTTCCCATATTATTTTCATTTAATACAAATCTAGGTTTATAATTTCTTTCCAAAAATTGAAGAAAATGACTCGGAGCAATTAAGAGAGAGTAGCATACTACATCACCAACGAGTTCTTAGGGAGAACAAAATCGAGTGAAAGGTCTCCACATCTTAGAAGGTTACAAGAACTTTATTAAGTAACCGAAAGTTATACTATTTTGTCTATTTGGAGACTGTGAGCCCCTAATCTTCCAATAAGCAATGGGAAAAAGATATGAAGAAATGCAATAAAAAAAAGTGAACAACACGACAAAAAAAGAATAATACATGGCAGTTAGTTTCACTACCAAACGGACACGATCGTGTGAAGTGGGTGTACAAAACAAATTTTAAAACAAAAACTTTAAAGGAGATGAAGATATAAAGAAAAATTGGTGGCAAACATATATATAGTCAAAGAACCATAATCAAATAAGATGAGGTATTCCCTTATGTTGCTTGTCTTGAAACAAATTTAGATACTCTTTTTGATATTAGTGATGATATCATCAAAAAAAATGTGTTGATAAAAAAAAATTAAGAGCTCTCGCGGATCAATTGGTGGAGCTGGTTACAATTAGCTTTAATTTGATAGAAACTGAATTAAATAAAATTATTAATTACTCGATCTTAAGGTCACTGATACCTCTATTTTTGCAATTGGTCGAATACGGATAACGAGTATTATTGTCCGGCCCTAAACTACTACACCTACAAATCATCTTACTACATCAATATAAATTGACACATTTACTTTGCCAATACAACCACTAAAAAAATATGTTATATTAGTTGACCACATGATAATGCCTTCCGCTAACTAATAATTAATCAACCACAGAAAATCTTATGTTCATTTTGTTTAAAAAATTACTTACACATTTTAAAAGATATAATATGAAAACCCAAGTAGATACCTACACCCGCGATGTACCGCGGATTGAATCCTAGTTAGACTAATAATTTCATTGGCATGTCAAAATAGTTTTGGCTAGGAAAATCAGTCTTTATGAATGAAGTAAGCACATTAAGACACGATATCACTATATAAGAGCGTGTTCTTACCAAGAAAGATGTGCAATTGGAGTACGTAAGGACACATCATCAAGTAGCCAATATTTTCACAAAACCTCTTAAGCACAAAAACTGTATCAAGATGAGGAATTTACTTGCCATATACATATATGGTACCAAATTGAGTAAAACAAAAAATTAGAGAAATCAGAAAATATAGTATATAATAAATTATATATATATATATATATATATATATATATATATATATATATATATATATATATATTGGTTGAGGTTATGGATATAGTTTTGTCGATCCAAAGATGTCAGAAATATACATATAAAAAATGGTCTGCACACGTTTTTGCGTATGGAATTAAAACATAATTGGATGCTGCCTAAACAACTAGTAAAGTAACATTCATGGTCGTCGCATGCCGATCGCGAACGCACTGGGTTTTGAATGACGATTCGGTCGAAGTAAGAGCGTGAGTCGGAAAAAGTTTTGGATTAAAAAAAGAATACATTAAATAGTACGTTTTTAATAGAAGTTTCTGGCTTTGATTGGTTACACTTTGTTTAGTGGTGCAAATTGTAATACTTAATTTCAAACCAATAAAAACATGTACAGTTCATGGGTATTACAAAATATAGAGCATTGCACTTGTAATGCTACTATCTTGTGATAGCACCAAAAAAAACTAATGGTACAAGTGTTATGAATGGTTATTATTATTGTTGAAAAAAAATTTGAATTTACTTTTTCATTTTCCTAAGAGTCTAAATATTTTATTTTTCTTTTTTTTCAAAAAAAAACTTTCTTATATTTAAATCAAAATTTTAACATTCAAATGTGTTATTTTCTAAGAAAAAAATTATCTTTTAATATATTTTTCTCATATTTAAATATTTTGGTGACTAATTTACACTTAATATACTTTCTAATATTCCTAAACCCTACCCCATAAAAACTATATCATGTACTATCACTATTTACTATATCTTTTGTACCACCTTAAAATTCGGTACTGCATCATTATTATGTATGTGACCAATAAGATCCTATACCACATGGTTACATAATTAAGTGAGAGTAAGAAATAGTATTAGAGCATCTCAAACCCATTTCTAGTTTTGTCTCTAAACTCTGTTATAGAGTGAATGATACTGTAACACATCTCTATTTTTACCTCTAAAATAGACGTGGATATATTTATACTCTATATATAGAGAAATTATATTTCTTACTCTATAATAGAGTTAAAAAGATTTATTTGCAAAGTGGTGTTTTAACTCTTAATGTTTTTTTTTATGATTAAAATAAATAAAATTAATATCATTTGTGGGGAAAATACAATAATGCCGATGGTTAAACAAAATGTACTATGTTTTATTATTTTTATATGATGCAATGTATTATTTTACAATAAATCTTTAATTTAAATAATATCACAATTTTATGAAAGTCTTGTAAAAGTTAAAGTAAATGGATTAATTTGCAACTTTTATAAATTAAATGTATTAATACTAAAATAAAAATAGAATCTATTTGAAATATTCATTTTTAGAGAAAAAATACTCCTTCCGTATCAGAAAGATTGATTTTATAGAGTTTTCACACTAATTAAAAAATATATTTAATGTTTAGTTATAAATGCACAATTTATTCATACCAAACCATTTCTCATAGCTATTAACCAATAGTAATCCATCAAATTTTAAAATTCTCAATTAATGATTCTTGAAATTCATAATTTATTAACATTAATTGATAAAAATTTACAGAAAATCAATCTTTTTCATACAAAAATAAAACCTCAAAAATCATTCTTTATGATACAGAGAGAGTAGAAGAATACATTGGAGTAAAAACCACATACTTATGAAATTTTTCTATTTGAAAGATAAAAGTGAAAAAATACATTGGAAATGGTCTTAAGGTTTAGAAGGTTTGGAAAACGCTCACATACACATATTCCAAGGCAGCTAAAAGAAGTTACACTTGTTTATAAAATCAGATATCAACAATTTTTACTATTAAGACCATCTCAAATGAGACCTTATATTTGAGATTTGCCAAACTCCAAATTTGAGGTTTGGGGTTGTATCTCTCCAAAAGGAAACCTCAAATATAACTTCAAAAAGATTTATATTTTACACAGTAGTACTTACTATTGATTATAATTAAATAACATCACAAAATTTTATAAATAACTATAAAACATACATTAAAAATATTACAAGCAATATTAATTAATAAGATGTTACATTATAAAATAAAATTACACAAAATAATAATAATAACATACAAACGAAATCCTAAATTAAAACTAAATTACCAATTTATTGAACCTAAGTATTTCCATAATGCTCCCATATATGATCAATTAATGCATTTCGAAGAGAGAGATGAGTCTTTTTAAGGCGTTTATTACTTTTATATGGAAAAATAGAATTTATCTATATATAAGACTATATATAAGACATAAAAAATTTAAGGACTAATATCATACTATGATAGAATAATAAATTAGTAGGAGTATTTATAAGACATGAATAATTGTAAGAACCAAAATGCAGAAAAAGAGATGAAACCTAAAATTTTAAGGTTTTGAGGTTGCCTTTGGAGAACAATAAACCTCAAATATGAAGATTTGAGGTTGCCATGCTCTAAAGTCTAAATAAGGAAACTTTCTAAAAGCTTCACAAAGAGACATGATTATTATTTTTTCTTTAAAATTAATTAATTTATATTAAACAAACCACGACCGTAACAATTCGAAAACCGTCTTACATCATAAGAAAGTTACAGAGACACCGGAAAATTGAAGCTGTAGGAGAGTAGAAGTTATAAAATTGTAAACTTGGAGACACCGGAATATTTTTGGGTCAACCCATAATAGCATATTAAGAGACAGAAAGTTGTAAGAGCAACCACAATGGTTGAAACAAGTTATTGAGTTTCTTATAAATTAAATATTAATTTTTTAATATTAAAAAAAATGAACCACTAAAAGATAGACAAATGGAAGAAGAGTTTCTAAAATAACTAACAATGTACCTTAAATAAGAAACATCTCTAGTTCTCTCTCTTTTTTTTGTATTTCTTTTTGATATTATAATCTTAAGAAACCTTCTTAGGACCACCATTGTGGTTGCTCTAAACTTGTAACTGCTACTGTCACATGTGATTCTTCTTATGCAGATAATAAGATCTATTTTCATTGTACCGTAACATGTTAGGTATGAATTTAATTTCTTCTTGAAGGGGAAAGTACTAACTTTTAGGGCCTCTTTAAATGCTTCTTTTACATTCTGTATTATTTATTGTTTTGTAAGTACTAGCCTACTCTAAAGTACAACGAAACACGCCATTGCAGGGGCATGTCCGTATTGATACAGCGATTCCGACGAGAAAACAAAAACAATGATGCCAATCCAATTGTAAACACTCAACTACCAGTTATTTCTTTTTGATGCTGACGAACCCTTTTTTGGTACATTGTAACAAATACTCCCTCCGTTTTCGAATAGTTGTCGTTTTAACTATATGCACACAAATTAAGAAATTATTAATATTGTTAGTTTTTCAATATAAAAATATTATTAATTATCTACCTAAACATAATTTAACCAATACTCCCTCCGTTTCAGTTTAGTTGTCGTTTTAGGATTAAAAATTTGTTTCATAATAGTTGTCGTTTTAGGTTTTCAATGCAAATGTTTGGTGAAAATTAATGTTTTGTCATTAATGTTTTAATGTTTTGACCAATGAAAAAATTATAAAATATATTAATAAAGGGTAAAACAAAAAATTTAATGATTTTCTTAATTTGTGTGCAAAAACCTTAAACGACAACTAAAACGAAACGGAGGGAGTAGTAAATCAAGTTGTATAATAAAAATAAATATAAAAAATAAAAAAGTAATAAATTTTGCATCGAAAACTGAAAACGACAACTAATTAAAAACAAAAAAATTTCTCTAAAACGACAACTATTCGAAAACGGAGGGAGTACCAGTTACCATTACCAATTTACCATTCACCAAAAATATGATTTGTTTGCGGTGTTCAAAATTTTTTGTTGCTTTTTACTTTTAGTCATTTTGTTTTAATTATTATTATTATTTTATTTTTTGTCATGAATTGCAATTTTTTTCAATCCAAAATAGGTCGTCTCTGATGCAATTTTTTTTCCTAAATCCAGATTATTTTCCAAAAAAAATCATACAAATTAATTTCTTGATACGTATAATTATATTTAATCAAATATTTCGAGCTTTAAACCAAAAAAAAAAGTATTTCGAGCTCTAGAATATACTAAAAAATCAAATTCCGATAACTCTTTTATCTGTATAGTATTTTTTATTGTGATTATTTATGTTTTGTTTGTTTCATATCATTTGTTTTGCATGTTTTTCTATTCTACACTAACCACATTTTGTTCTATTTGCTTGTTCTACCGTGACAATTGTTAATCCGATACATAACAAGCAAAGGGAGCCAAACGACGACGTTTAGTGTATGTTCAAAGTTCCATAAATGCCCCTATCCATCGTTTTCTTATTTTTATTTTTTGGTAATCTCCATCGTTTTCTTATTACGAAACCGCTTTTGTAATTTTCAGTTTTGTAAGAAAACCAAAAACAAAAGAAATTATTTTTTTCTTGGAAGGAACAGAGAAATGGTTTCGGACTCGGACCTCGTGACCCAGCTCCGGGAAATTCTCCGTAGCTCCGACCTAGAAACAACGACTCCGGCGAGCGTTCGCCGTCAGCTGGAGGCGTATTTCGGCGTCGAATTAACCGATAAGAAAGCTTTCGTCAGGGAACAAATCGATGCTTTTCTTGAAAGTGAAGCTTTGTTAGAAAGCAAACCCGAGGAAGAAGAAGAAGAAGATAATGAAGACTGTAATGGTGATCAAAACGATGAAGAAGGAAGTGAAAACGATGATGATAAGACCGAACCGTAAGTTTATCTCTTCCTTTTGGAACTGACTGTTTTGTTCCAATACTGATTTATTCTTGTTGATTTTGGAAAAATGGTGTGTTTCCTCTATGAATTAATCTTCGAAACATTGGATATATCTGATATAATTTAATGGTGATCGAATGAATCAAAGGTTGGGGACTTTTAGTTTCTTATGGATTTTGATGCATTCTTCTGTCTGATGATTGTTTAGAAGAGAGTTGTGTGTTGTTTCTTGTGATTGGTTTTAGATGGAAAGATGCCAAATTTGTGATTTTGTTGTGTTTTATTAATGTAATAGACCGGTAAAGGCTAAGAAACGTGGAGGTGGGTTTAACAAAATATGTCAGCTTTCTCCACAACTAGAGAAGTTTTTAGGAACTTCTCAATTGGCTCGAACAGAGGTATAGTTTTCCAATTATTTTTAATTTCGTTTTTCCTTTGATGGTTTTGTGGGGGAGAAAAGCTTATGATGACATTTTGCATATATAACAGGTTGTGAAGAAAATGTGGGCATATATCAGACAGCACGATTTGCAAGATCCAAAGAATAGGCGGAATATATTATGCGACGATTCGCTTCATTCGTTATTTCGTGTAAAGACAATTGATATGTTTCAAATGAACAAGGCATTGGCAAAGCATATTTGGCCGCTAAATGATGGAGATGGTATTTTTTTCCTTGTTATTTCACTAGATGTAGGTGGTGGCATCTCGATAAGGTGTTGATAGTTCTTGTGGTTTATTAATATAGGGTGTGTTAAGAATGTGAAAGGGGAAGATGAAGATGAGACATCAGGGGAAAGATATGAGAAAGAGGTAAAAATCGAAGAAGCGGTAGAGAATAATGAAGAAGTAAGTGGAGAAGAGGAAGATCGTAGTGTCCGAAAACGCAAACGCAAGAAAAGAAAGTTAGTTCTTTCTTTCTCTTAATTTTGTGTGTTTGTATGGTTAGATAGTTTAAGGTCCAGAGAAACTAAGCCCGCTGTATCGAATTAGACCAGCCAAGTCCGAGGAGAAACCGAAGAAAAAAGGAGGCGGCTTTACCAAAGTTTGCAGTCTTTCACCAGAACTTCAGGCTTTTACTGGAACGGCTCAGTTAGCTAGAACAGAGGTACATGACTGACCTATAGTGACTTAGTTCCTTAGAGCTTCTTGGGAAATTACAGAACTTCTGGATGTGTGATATTTCATCTGTTGAATGATTGGTTTTCAGGTTGTGAGAATGCTTTGGAAATACATAAAGGAGAACAATTTGCAAGATCCATCAGATAAACGCACAATAATATGCGATGAATCATTACGGTCTCTGTTCCCTGTTGAGTCTATCAATATGTTTCAAATGAACAAACAACTAACCAAGCACATTTGGCCTCTAGTACAGGAGGATGAAGGTATTTGATGATTGAAACAATTTTTGTTACCTTTTCTTTGATTAGTCGTGTGCCCATAAATGTTCACTCTTTTTTCATGAGTCATTTGTTCAACTATATCGCCTCTTCTACCGATAGGCTTTTGATAGAAAAAGTTTGTCTGTCTTTCTTTGAATAGACTAATTTTTGTGCTGTCTTTTTCTCCAGCAGGAACAACTAACGATTCAGAGAAGGGAAAACAGAAAATGAAAATGGAGATAGACGCAGGTAAGGACATTTTCTTGATCTATTCATGGTACTTAGTCAAGGTGAAAATAAAATCATCCACCTATTTAAACTATATAGATAATGATGAAGCAAATGATGAAAAGGCTACTTCATCAAGAATCAAGACTGAACAATGATTCGAGTGAGAAGCTGAAAGAACTCTTGGAAGTTGTTTTTTTCCAAGGCGACTCAGGTCTCAAAGCTTCTGACTAACCACTTCATCAAGACTAACCAATGATTCGTCATTCGAAGGGGCCAATTTTGGTAAGTATTTCATATAGGCAAGAGCAGTGTTAAGTAAGCATTTGTTAACTCTTGGTATATATAGTGACAAAACTGGACCTGACCAGAGCTAGTTTGGACTTTTGACTAATCAGACTTGTAGTTAATGCAAAGAAGAACAAGTGATGCGATAACATGTTTCAACTTTGCTACCAAAATTTTCATAAATAGTTGCTAAAAACGTTTCAACTTAGCTACCAAAATTTTCAGAAATAGCACAATGATGCTATAGAGAAACAGAATTTGGTCTTGATATTAAAATACCACAAGGTGGCTTTTTATGTGTTTTTTCACTCACAACTTGAATTTCAAAAACTATGGCTCAGTTACAATCTTACACAATAGAGTTTGGTCACAAGAAGTTGTTCTTCCTCTGTTTTTACAATCTTACACAATAGAGTTTGGTCATGATCTTAAAAAGCCACAAGGTGTGTGTTCTAACGCAAAACATAAAGTCCAAAACTCTGACACAATTATCATTCATATGATGAGACATCAACAAAATTTATCTTTCTTTAAATCTTCTCGAGATTCATGCATTTATATCTTTAAATCTATCTTGGGGACCAAGTGTAAATATGAAAGTATGAAACCTAAAACGATTTAACAAGCATATTTCCTTATTTTTGTATTATTAGAGGCTAAGTAAGAAACTTTACATTATTTTGGTGCTACTATTAGATATACATACAACTCAATAAAGTTTATTTTCTCTGTAAGATTATCATCATGAGGCATCGTTACACTCTGGTTCTGTCTGCAATGCGGCTGATACGACCGTCCAACCGCCGCCATCTAACTTCGATCGCAAGCCCCGACTCTGAGTTCATTTCATATATGAACAATAAGGCTAAGTCCATCAATAAAGCACTAGACGATTCCATTCCTCTTTGCAACAATTCCGTTCCTCTTTGGAAGCCAGTACTCGAGGTTCGCGAAGCTATGAGGTACACGCTTCTCTCAGGCGGGAAACGAGTAAGGCCAATGCTTTGTTTGGTCGCTTGCGAGCTCGTAGGTGGCCAAGAGTCAACAGCAATGCCTGCAGCCTGTGCAGTTGAGATGATTCACGCTTCGTCGCTTATCCTAGACGACCTTCCTTGTATGGATGATGACAGCCTCCGCCGTGGAAAACCCACCAACCATAAAGTCTTTGGCGAGAAAACAGCCATCTTGGCCGCTAATGCCCTTATGTCTTTGGCGGTCGAGCAGACGTTGGCATCAACCTCATTGGGGGTGACTTCAGAAAGGGTTCTTCGGGCTGTTCAGGAGATGGCGAGAGCTGTTGGGATAGAGGGACTTGTGGCAGGCCAAGCAGCAGATTTGGCCGGAGGAAGGATGAGTTTTGAGACAGAAGACGAGGGATTGAGATATCTTGAGTTCATTCATATTCATAAAACCGCGGTTTTGGTTGAAGCTGCGGCTGTTGTGGGAGCTATAATGGGAGGTGGGTCCGATGAAGAGATTGAGAGGCTTAAGAGCTACGCGAGGTGCGTTGGACTGATGTTTCAGGTGATGGATGATGTGCTCGATGAGACCAAGTCGTCCGAGGAGCTTGGGAAAACTGCCGGAAAAGATTTGATCACCGGAAAGCTTACTTATCCGAAGGTGATGGGTGTGGAGAATGCGAGAGAATATGCAAAGAGGTTGAATAGAGAAGCGCAGGAACATCTTCAGGGGTTTGATTCTGACAAGGTGGTTCCTTTGTTGTCTCTCGCTGATTATATTGTCAAGAGACAAAACTGACTGTTACTCCATAGCTTTAATGACAAATCAATGAAAAAAGCATCGAAGTGTATGAAAATGCAAAACGAGAAAGTTGCCTGTTTTTTTTTTTAAATGAGACAGCTCAAGGCAATGAAGAAAAAAGTGATTTGATAACATGTTTCAACTTAGCTAACCAAAATTTGCATAAATATTACAATGGTCATATATGAAAGAGAGTTTTGGTCCATAATCTTAAAACACAACAATGTGTTTTGTGTTGTAAACTCAAAATTTGAAGTTAAAAACTCTCACACAATTATCATCCCCACAAGAAGTTAATGTTAGCAAGCGCTGATTAGACTCGCACTTCTCAGTTGGTCTCCAAGCTAACCGGTTCACGGCCGAGACATGACACATGAATGGTTCGAGCCGCAGAGCAAGAGCTGCTGTTGCAGTCGTACCTTCCTCTTTTTCTATAATCTTTATGTTCCACAGCTCTATCAGTCCGCTTTCCATCCCAACCGCCACGCACCCGCTCTTCTCCTTGTGGTCTAGTCCCGTCCAAGCCACAGCTGTGACACTGCTCCCAAACTGAGGCAAGGCAAGAATCTGTTTGATGCGAGCGTCATTCTCAATGGACCAGATCTTCACAGTCTTGTCACGTGATGAAGTTGCAAATTGGTGGCCAAACGGGTTCCATGAACATGCCCATATGATCCTCTTGTGTGCTTCAACCTTTGCCATGAGTTTGTGACTAACATCGCCATTGTCTTAACAGAAGCCAAAAAAACAGACGAGTTAGAGACGCTCAAAATGTAGACACTTTTGGATGTTTTGAGAAAATCTGATTTTGAACTGTGAAGTTGAAATCGCTTGAGTTACCTGTCCTTTGGATCGAGAAAACGGAGAAGTGACGATCTCTTGAGACAGACAAGAGTAGAGTGTCATCATAAGAGAACTCCAAGTGTGTCACTGTCAAGCTGTGAGATTGCAGACGACCAACAGCTTTCCATGTCCCAACCTCCCATAGCCATATCTCCGCCATGGATGCAGATTGAGCCTGAAGAAGTTTGAGGTTCATATATAGAAAATAATTTAGTAATGGAATCCTGCTCAGTTAGATCTAAAATCTAAATATAGGAGATTGAACAAGTGTAAAATTTTTCTGAAAACTGCATTAGCTTACCTTACACGATGAAGCAACAAGTTTTCCCTTGTGGTCACAGCAGAGAGAAAATAGTTCATTACCATGACCATAGAGTTTATGAGACTCCGGCCATAAAGTATGAAACGCAAGCTGATCTTCGATCGGAGGCTCCTTCAACTCCGCTGGAGCCGCCTCTGGAACTGTCTCAAATGTATCCAAACCTTCTCCTCCGCCATTTCTCACCAGCGGTTCACTCGAAGCTGCAAAAAGAAGTTTATATGAATCTCAAGATTGCTTTTGGTAAAAATCTAGACATGGTGTTGAATCAATCAAGTACTCACAGTGCAAGTAGATAGGTTTCTGTGATAAACCAAGAGCAGACATATTCGCTCCAAGAACCTGCACATCTGCTTGTAAATCCTCAGGGAAGCTTCCTTCTCCTCCCGCACAAGTGTGGTTCAGAGTCTTCAAGAACGACAGAGGAGCCTCAAACACTCTGACAACTTTCTCCTCTGCTCCACTAACAAAACGGTGGTTGCCTTTACCTTGAACCATAGCCACACAGTTAATGTCATGCCCGTGAACCTGAGGACGAGCCAGTTCATGCCAATGCTCATCCTCTGCTTCATTCCCCTCATCATTCTTCCATGATGAGAACACACGAGTGGTCTGCAAAATCAGGCGAATTTGGAGAATGAAATGTCAGAAAAGTGACTTTTTGCAATTTAATATAATGACTCGTTTTAACGTCTCAACCATAGGCCCTCACCTGATCGTGGCTCACGGATAACAAATACTCGCCGGTTCTAGCCCATGTGACATCAGTCACGGCAGCAAAGTGACCCGAAGGAACTTTCTGCATCTGCCAATTCTCAGACTCTTCGCTGCTACTGACATTTCTCCAGAGATGAAAAGATCCGCCGTATCCATGAGCCAGAATCGACTGACCATTGTGGCTCCAATGGCCACCGTAGAAACCAAGAGCACAGTGACTTAGCTCTCCAACACATACAACGTTCACCCACACACCCGTTTTCTTCTCAGGTCGCCAAATCATCATTGTTTTGTCCATTGAAGCTGATAAAATGCTCAGCGGTTGGTGGTTAACTAACAGCCCATCAATGGAATCAATGACTGGAGGTTGCCATTCCACAGAATAGACCCAATCTTCATGTCCAATCAGAACAGATTCAACTGAAATCTGATATGTAAATGTCCCTGAGACAAAAACTGGGCCTTCAATGTAGGAAGCTAGAGTGATTTCTCTTCGCCACGAGCCAACATCACCGACTAACACAAGTTTCCAGATCCGAATAACTTTGTCCTGTGAAGAACTCACAAGCATAATACTATTGGCTGTTTCTTCTGTTGAGTGTAATGGTAATGAGAAGTCCAAACTTCGAATCCAGTCCGTGTGGCCTTTAAGCTCACAAACAGAAGTAAACTGAAAAAGTATGTAACAAAAAAAAAAAAACTCTCACAATTGATTTTTTTTTAGGATATATAGGCACAAAAGCGAATCAGGAAGCACCTTTCCTGTTCTTTCTCCACAGTAAAGTTTGATTTTATTGTCCAATCCGCCCAACGCAAGGGCAAATCGACCAGGATTTTGAGGCAATTCCGCTAATGAAAGCGTTACAATTGCTTTAGTGTCAACACAGATAGAGTCCAGACACACCACTTTACATTCCTCTGCAACAGATAACACAGAGGATGAAAAAGATTTAGATACTGCTTAGAAGACATACTTCACTTCAGGACCATTAATACTTACCACTGGACTGAGACGGAAAAGAAACATCCCAGACATTAACAACTCCATCAGAAGAAGCAGAAGCAAACATTGCATCGGTTTCAGAAACCATATAAGCGGTGATGCAAGTAACACCTTTCTTGTGAGACAGTGGTAGTTGTAGCACATGTCTCCACTGTTGCTAAACCAAACAGAAAACATACTAGGGATCAGAGATAATAGACAAACAGTAAAGAAACTCAGATAAGACCGAGATTGAGGGAAGTATACATTGTTATGAAGAGCAGATAGTTCCCAGAGGATGATGATACCATCTGAATCACCTGAGAGCAGATAATGCCGGTCCAAATTCTTGGCTGCGAACAATCACAGAACTTTTAAGGAGATGTGACTACCGTTAACCATCAGATGTTTTTCTCCTAAAATCTATAGTCAAAAGTTGTAGAAAAGTTCAACCTTTTACAGCAACTAAACATCAAAACCGTTGATAGAGACTATAAATAGAAATTTGAATAGCTACGTCTTCTCAATTTACTTCAAAATTTTCTAATGATAGCTATAACCATCAGTCTAAATTCTCTATCTGATAAAACATTAAAATAACAATGCAATACCTATGGCGCGATTCAACATACTAAAAACTCTAAATCAAGAACAAAAAGTTCCCATAAACCAAAAGATTCAAAATTACAGCAAGTAATCTAGAAATAGAAGAAGTACCTTTGAAAGCAAACTTGGAAGTGGGTAACCAATGAGTGCAATTCACAGAAGCTTTGTGCCCCGGAAGAGTAGTAAGAATCTGGGCAGTCTGCAAAAAACATCAAACAAAGACACAAAACAAAAATCATATCTTGCTCTTGAAAGAACAAAAAGGATGATTTTGAAGAGTGAACGAAACAGACCTTAGGGCAGAAAACAGCAACGGCGTTTTGGGCACCAAAGGAGACAAGACCAGAAGCTCCCCAAGAGACGTTATTGACGACTCTGTTGCATCCTGCTCCTATGAACACTCTCTTCGCTTCGACTTTTGTGTTTTCTAATGACATCTTTTATCAGAAGGAGATTGTTTGATTGAAGATAAGCAGCATTACCAAGTTTCTTTTCTTCGTTAGCCGCCGCCGCCGCTGGGAAACTTATCTAACAGGAAAAAGAAAAAGGGTAAGCAAATAAGATTTGTACTTTTGTAGGTTGTGAAGGCCCAATTGAAGCCCAGAAGGGTATATAATAATTGCGTGGACAAAACCTAAATCGGCAACCAAAAGCAGCATCAGCCGTTCGCTTCCGCCGGAAATTCGAAGCAAAACCATAATGTTCGTAGGAGATGGGGCGTCTGAGGAATATAGGTTGCACCGAATGCGATTGCGAAACCGACCATTGCGTGACATCGATGTAATTCTTCCTTCTTTCATCTTGTCAATTCTACGAGAGATTGATTGATTCATGTATCTGAATTTATCCATCGGGATTTGTTCATTCATGTCAGTTTTATGAGTGATTCATGTCAATTTTACTAGTTTGTGGTGGAAGTCATCACAACCTTAACCCTGGACTAATATATGCTGGCTGCTAATGTGTCTTCTAGCCTTTCGATGCCAAGGGTATCACAGAAACATACGATCGTACACTATACGAAGTGACCTGCAATAATCCGCGGTTCACTGATCTTAAAGCACGCATAGTCAACCATTATGCTAGGATGGGCGTTCATCGTTACAATTTGCTCCAGGTTATAAACTAGTCTCCATTGCTTTCTTTCTTTATCCATCACATGCATTAATTCTCTCTATTTACCCATATTTCAAATTTCTTTCTTTTAGGGGAAACACTATCAGTTCCTTCGCGTAGAGAAATACAATGTTACAACAAGATTTGGTCCTAACATCTACTACATAACTTCGTCTGCCATTGATCCAGCTAACGGTGCCCCTCGGTTTTTCCAGACTAAAATTGATGAACATACTCGTTTTCGTGCCAGATTAGATTTAACGTGCTATATTGCTAGACTTCGAGGTAGAAACAAATATTGTTCTTTTTAGGGTTTGCTAAATCATCTCATGTACCTTCTGATTTAAATCTTGTATACGCAGGTGATCCCAAGATATACACCAAAAAATGTTTCGACTACGATGATAGCTTGCCTGAGTGGCCGCCAGAGAATCCTTTCAAAGATACGAAGCGGTTTTATGTGGTAAGATTTTTCAGAGTTTAGCTTTCGCGTTGATCAACTAGTTGGTGATAATGTATATATCTTTTGCTTCTTCTTCTTTTTTTTGTCAGGTGAAGAAGTCAGAGCTGCAAGACAATGTCAATGACTGGATTCGTCTTTATTTGGAACTTGCGGTTTCTTCGAAACGTAACATGTTTTTTAAAGATGAAGATCTCTCCAACTTGGAGATTGTGAAAGTGGCTATAGAAACTACTACTACTAGCCAAGATCCAAACGAGGGGCATCTCAATGCCATGAATACAACGGTCTACATAAGTTACAGGGACCCGAGCGAGGCTCGGGTTGGTAAGGATGTCGATCGCATAGCTATAGTCAGAAGAAGCTTTGATGAGCAGTCGTCATGCTTTAGCCTTGTGGGTCACAATCTGAGCTCAGAAACTATAAACGAGCCGTTGGGTTCCAGGGACCCGAGCGAGGCTCGGGTTGGTAAGGATGTCGATCGCATAGCTATAGTCAGAAGAAGCTTTGATAAGCAGTCGTCATGCTTTAGTCTTGTGGGTCACAATCAGAGCTCAGAAACTATAAGCAAGGCGTTGGTTGCTAAGGATGTTGATCGCGCATCTATAGTCAGAAGAAGCTTTCATGAGCAGTCGGCATGCTCCAGGCTCGTGGGTCAGAATCAGAGCTCAGACCCTATACCAAAAAAGGGTAAGAGTCAGAGTGCGTATAGCCAACGTTTAGGTGTCCGCAAACCGTGGCTGTTATGTATTCATAAGTGGCGCAAGGCATACCAAACTCGTTGCGTTCGCATGACTCGCCGGATCAGATAGATAATAAACTATCAAATTATCAACTAAGTTATTTTGTGCGTTCGGATTGTTAAAGTGGATTGGTTTTTGTGTGCTTGTTTTTTTTTTCACAACTTTGGATCGACAAAGCCCGATTTATAGTCAATCCCTACTACGCAGGGTAACGCGACTTAGTGGAGTCGAACTCTAGTGGGGAAAGCAGAGTCAAATGAACTTAACTACTTGACTAAATACACATTCACATTTGCTTAAATAATATATATTTAGTTTAAATCATCTCAATATAGACATGGTTTAATTTACATTAGAAATTCAATCCAATAGAGGGTATAGTGAAAAACATTTGACGGTTCGCCCAAAAAATTGTTTTTTCTCTCGCCTCCCTACCTTAACACAAAGTGGCCGTCGTGCTTGTGATCGGCGCGTGGTGGCTCATACAGCGTCGGCGTCGGTCACCTCCCTTGTTTTTTTGCATAGCTTTTCATTTCCTGTCTTTGTCTTCTTTGGTTGTGGAAGCATGGAGGCTTTTAACGTTTTAGAGTGGTAGGTGTCGAGGGGCAGATCTAATGAGATTGGGTCTTGGTACTCGGATATGTCGGATCTGATGATCGAGGGTGTTCTTGGGTTGCTGGTCACAATGTGGAGTCCCAGTTAGGTACATCTTTGTCGGGTGGTTCTCTTCGTTGAGCCTCGGCGGACTTTGGCGGCTTTTGTTTCTTCTCTTGACGGCTCGTTTCTCTTCTCCCATTGCCGAATCTGTGCAACATTGGATTGCTTTCTCGATAACTCGGTATCTCCATTGTCTCTCATGTCTTCTTTGTGTCGACTTGTTGCTCTTTTCAGTTCGTCTTCGTGAGATCTGGTAATATCAAAGGCTTAGTTTTAATTGTCTCCCTCGTTTGGGTTGTTGTCTCCTTCTTTTGGGCTTAGCTTCTCTTCCCCGACTAAGATAGTCTTTGTTAGTTTGGGGTTGAACTCTTTGATTATGTCTGGATTTTATCTCATCTAGGATTAAGCGATGGTTTGCTTAATTATTTGATTGTTGTGGCGTTGAAAGGTCTGTGGTTCTTGATTATCTTACGGTTCATCCGAGAAACCCTTGACAAAAGTACTCATTGAAAAAGAAGCATCATTTATGGAGAAGGCCAAGTTCCTTTCTCTTGTTTTTTCCATAAGTGTTGAAGCCCGTCTTCATAGTTTGTTATGCGGGAAGTCCTTGTGCTGAGCTTCGAGAGCTTCGTTTAGTCTCGAGGCAAGATTTTTTTGGTCTTTGCAATGTAATTTCGAAAACTCCCTTCCTCGTTGTAGGTTATGGATCGAGCATTGTGTCTCTTTGAAATTTAATATCTTCTTTACTCATGTGTATTGTAACCTTTCCGAATCAAATATCAATATAATTCAATGAAAAAAAAAAGAGGGTATTGTTGTATAAGCTTGAAGTTGTGAGGATAACTTGAGATGGAAGTCTCTAGTTTTAAAGGAGAGTTTAGATTTTGAGATAAAGATTAGATTGTATTAGGAGTTATCTAATATATCTAATATGTCGGTTAAAGTTCTATTAGGGTTTTGAGTTTATGTTTTCATATAAATAGATGTCAAGTTATGGCATTAGGTGATATGAGAGCTTTGTGTGTTTAGGGTTATGAATGTATGGTTTTGAGTCAGTTTCCATACTAATAAAAGAGAGAGTCTTTTACATCTTCATAGCCTTTGTTTGTTTTGCTCTTTAAAGTTTTGATACAAGAATTGGTATCAGAGCTTGCGATCTCGATCACGAGAAAACAGAGTTGATAACAGAGAACGATCACGAGAAGGTGATCCATAAGGAAACATGGGAGACTTGATTCCCGCGACTACCAAAGAAGGAGGAGGTTCCTCTTCTATTAAGTGTCCGATGTTAAATCCTACAAACTATACGTTTTGGACTATACGTATGACTATGGCACTCAAAGTTCATAAAGTTTGGGAGGCTATAGAACCTGGATCAGAGGATGTTGACAAGAACAACATGGCTAGCGCTCTTCTTCTGCAGTCTATCCCTGAGGCGTTAACACTGCAAGTCGGGAAACTAAACACTGCCAAGAAGATATGGGATGCCATTGAATCTAGAAATCTAGGAGCTGATAGGGTTAAAGATGCAAGATTACAAACCCTAATGGGTGAGTTTGAGAGAATAAAGATGAAAGAAAGTGAGAAGATTGATGATTTTGCTGGTAGAATCTCAGAATTATCTACAAAATCAGCATCTCTTGGACATGACATCGAAGAACCAAAGCTTGTAAAGAAGTTTCTAAACGGATTACCTAGGAAAAGGTACATACATATAATAGCCGCACTTGAACAAGTTCTTGATTTAAACAACACTACGTTTGAAGATATAGTTGGAAGGCTAAAAGCTTATGAGGAAAGAATCTACGATGAAGAAGATAATCAAGAAGATCAAGGAAAACTAATGTATGTTAGTTCTGAGACACAACCATGGTACACAAACAGAGGAAGAGGACAAGGTGGTAGACGAGGAAGAGGAAGAGGACGGTTTGGTTATTCTCAAAACAATGGTTACCAACAAAACAGAGATACAAGCAAAATAACATGTTACAGGTGTGATAAGCTAGGACACTTTGCATCAGACTGCCTTGATAGGCTTCTTAAACTTCAGGAAACACAAGAAACAAATGCTACAAAGAACAATGATACACAGGAAGCTGATGCTTTGATGATGCATGAGGTCGTGTACCTGAATGAAAAGAATTGTGTACCAAACAAATTTGAAACTAATACAGACAAGGAGAATATTTGGTATTTGGATAATGGTGCTAGCAATCACATGACAGGGATTTTAGCTTACTTCTCTAAAATTGATGAGTCAATTACGGGTAAAGTTAGATTTGGTGATGATTCTCGAATAGATATCAAAGGAAAGGGATCAATCACATTCATTGCAAAGAATGGAGAAAGAAGAATTCTACATGATGTCTACTACATCCCAGACTTAAGAAGTAACATTGTGAGTTTAGGTCAAGCCACTAAGTCAGGCTGTGATGTTAGAATGAAAGGCGATAATCTTACTCTTTATGACAAAGATGGCAAGCTTCTGGTTAAAGCACTAAGGTCAAAAAATCGACTCTACAAGGTAAGTTTAGAAGTTAAAAACAATAAATGCCTACAAATTGGGATATCAAAATGCAAGTGGCATGCCAGGCTAGGACATATTGGAACAGAGACCTTAAAGACAATGGTGGAGAAAGAACTTGTCTTTGGGATCCCACAAATCAAAGTAGAGAAAGAAATATGTTCCTCTTGTCTACTTGGAAAGCAAACAAGAAAATCTTTTCCCAAAGCAACTTCTTTCAGAGCAGAAAGTGTTTTAGATCTCATTCATGGGGATCTCTGTGGACCCATCACACCTCCTACACCATCAAAGAATCGATACATTTTTGTTTTAATTGATGATTACTCACGATACATGTGGACACTTCTACTGAGAGAAAAAGGTGAAGCCTTCAGAAAATTCAAAAGTTTTAAAGCATCTGTTGAACAAGAAACCAAGACCACTATCAAGACATTTCGAACTGACAGAGGTAGTGAATTTCTTTCGGCTGAATTTCAAGCATTTTGTAATGACTCTGGTATACAAAGACACCTAACTGCACCATATTCTCCCCAACAAAACGGAGTCGTCGAGAGGAGAAACAGAACATTAATGGGAATGACCAGAAGCATTTTAAAACACATGAATGTCCCAAATTACTTGTGGGGGGAAGCAGTCAGACATGCAACATACATCATAAACAGAGTATCAACAAGAACACTGATACATCAGACTCCCTACGAAGCATTCAAAAAGAAAAAACCAAATATAGAACATATACGAGTCTTTGGCTGTATAGGCTATGCAAAAAGAGAACCGGCTCATCTGAAGAAACTTGATGATCGATCAAGAATGCTAGTGCATTTAGGAACTGAGCCAGGATCAAAAGCGTATCGATTATTTGATCCAACAAAGCAAAAGATAATAGTAAGCAGAGATGTTATATTCGATGAGGAAACAAGCTGGAAGTGGAATAATGTTGAGAAGGATACAAACTTTGAGATAAGCTTTGGAGAATTTGGGAACAATGGCATAAGAGAAAATACTACTGAAACAGAAACAGAGAATGATGAAGTTGATAAGAATAATGAACCAGAAGAAAAACATGTCTCAACTATTGGAAACTCTGAAGATGGTGAAGCAAGAGAACAACAAACAGAACCAACACTTAGAAGGTCAGGAAGAGAAACAAAGAAACCAGGCTATCTAGAAGACTATGTCTTATTAGCAGAATATGAAAGTGAAAGACTGCTACTGGTTATTAATGAAGAGCCATGGGATTACAGTGAAGCAAAAGAATCTAAAGAATGGATAGATGCATGTGTAGAAGAGATCACCTCTATAGAAAAAAACAGAACATGGGATCTAGTAGATCTTCCCATAGATGCAAAGCCAATAGGCCTAAAATGGGTTTTCAAGATCAAGAGAAACGCTGATGGAAGCATAAATAAGTATAAAGCAAGACTAGTAGCTAAGGGATATGTGCAGAGACATGGCATTGATTTTGATGAAGTCTTTGCACCTGTAGCACGTCTTGAAACCATACGTTTCATTGTTGCTCTAGCTGCTTCCTATGGCTGGGAAGTACATCATCTTGATGTGAAAACGGCATTTCTTCATGGAGAATTGAAAGAGGTAGTCTACGTCACACAACCAGAAGGTTTTGTAGTAGAAGGAAGTCAGAACAAGGTGTACAAATTGAACAAAGCATTATATGGCCTTAAACAAGCTCCTAGAGCCTGGAACACAAAACTGAATACAATTCTCATAGAATTGGGTTTTGTTAAATGTTCAAAAGAGCCATCCATTTATCAGAAAAGGGAACAAGAAGAGCTCCTCGTTATAGCAGTCTATGTGGATGACTTACTTGTCACAGGATCCAACTTAGAGATGATACTAGAGTTCAAGAAGGGAATGGCAGGAAAGTTTGAAATGAGTGATCTAGGAAAGCTCACCTATTATCTTGGAATTGAAGTTACTCAAACTGAGAATGGTATTCTATTGAATCAAGAAAGGTATGCAAAGAAAATTCTTGAAGAAACTGGTTTTGGAGA